TTATCTCATTGATAGTCAAGGGGAGCAGACTTAGGGGGGCTGCTGCCTGTGTTGACCAAGTGCCAACAGCTCAGATCTCAAGTCCAGTGTCCAGTGGGCTGATCCCATGCTCTGACCACTTTTTTACTTTTCCTAAAAAACTTTCAGTTCAGTTTTTTTTTTTTCAGTTTTGGGGTCCATTCACATGTCTTCCCTTTTATCTAGTGGCTATTTACCAAAAAATCTGAGTGATTGTATTCCAGTCCTGTGTGAAGCTTTGCTGACTGTCTTCTTTGACTTCAGAGGGCAAATAAAAAATCAGACATAAAAATGTTGTTTTTCTCAGTCTCAGCATTTCTGAAGATTATCAAGTCAAGGCTTGCTATTAAATTCTCAGGAGAAAAGTACTTAGTAGAATGGACAGGAAGGACAGAAATGGACTAATGGACAGAAAAGTACATGGTAGAGGCTCCCCCATGGCCATGCTGAGGTCTGTTTCCTTGATCTTAGCAAGTAAACGCCATTGCAAATCAAGAATTGACGGAGACTCTGCTTTTTGGCTGAGGCAGAATTCAGAATCCAAATTTCCATGTGAGAATGGAGAGGTGGACTTGTCGGTGCGAGTATTGGACCCCATGAATACACCCTGTCCAAACACAGGTGCATGAAGGGACAGAGCCTGTACAGGGATGCCTTTCATATTACATACCCAAGTAAGCCACTGCTTGCTTCCTCTCCCTGGGGTAAGTGGCAGTAATGTGGATAAATTCTAGGCCTCTAATCAAATAAGTTAAGAATCAGCTGTCTTGCCCATATTGATTTTAGAATAAACATGCATCCAGCAGGGGGACAAATCTTCCTTTGCGAGCCTCCCTGTGACCCAGAACTGGGGAGAGCACGTGATTCCTTTGATGCCTGGTGCTATCCCAAACTCATCTTACATAGAAGAGAACTCAAAATACTTGGCAGTAGGAAGGCTACCTGATCTTGGGTGTCTTTGTTGGCAGGCAGGCTTATGATGGAGAACTTTCTAACCCAGAAACTCAGAAAGGAAAGTCATTCCATTAAGAGAATAAGAGCAACTTGAAAGATACTCCTTTGTTTTTGTTGAGCTGATATGTGGCATATTGAAGGCAGATATTGATTTTGTGTCTTCTGAGATCGATCTACTGAAAGTGTGCTAGACGGGATCATGGGATTCTAGTCACAGACATACACAGAGGACCTAGGTTCCAGGTTGACCCAATGTGTGGCAGTCCTGTGTATTGTATTCTGTGAGAGGAAACAGTTCATCGCACACAGAGGGTCCTTTGTTTAAGACTTTGGAAACCTTAAGGGGTATTTCCTCTCTTAGTCTAGAATCTTTTATCCTTTTGCAAGCTGACTTTGTATCTGACCTTAAGAAGAAAACATTGACAGCAAATTCAGTGTCTTTTTAAATTACCCCTTTAAATACTTAAAAATATTTCATTTGTTGTTGTGTTGTTATTTTTAAGTCAGAATCCTTATCCATCATTACACCATCTATTTTGGGTACCCAGGAGACAAAGAGCAGAGGCGGAAATTAAAGCTGGTGGTGGCTTCCTAAATTAGCTCAAGAGTTCCAAGAGTTCCTATGCACCCTAAGCATTGTGCGTTGGCTGGTTAATAACAACTTAAACATGTACGTAATATTCACTGATTTTATTATAAGGAATAAGATATAAACTTGTTTATGAACATTAAATTCAGAGTAAATTTTGCCCTGCTCAATGAGTACTAAGACTATAGTGATTATTATAACATTTTTGAGAAGTATATAGGGAGTGGACTTTGAAAAATAATGGAAGTTAGTGGAGCAGAGGAGTGAGATTTGGGGTCACACCTAGGTCTCCAGACCCTCCACCACTGTACAGGGTTCCTGAGTGTAGAACCTATTTCCCTTACAGGATCATGCAAGAATGGCTATGGGTTTGATGACTTGGGTTTGAATGGCTTTGCTCTTCCATTCTTAGCTGTGTAGTCCTGGCCACATTCTGTGGCTTCTGCTTGTCTCAGTTTTCTCATATGTCACATGGGGGCAATAATAGGACTCTATAAAGTATTTGCCATAAACCTTAGAATACAGTTAATATGCACCAAACAATAGGTAGTGTTTAAAAAAAAAATCCAACAGCTCCAGCTTTTCTTTAAGAGATCGGAACTGCAGTTTCCATTTGGACAGAACTCCTGTTTATAGTCACATGTTCTCATGAGTGTGCTCTGGCTGAGCTCTGTGATGAGGAATTTTGTGTGGAAGAGACTGCCTTGCCATCCAGGGTAAGATGCTAAGATGAGCCCTAGGAAACAAGGATGATTAAAATATCTAATTTTGTTCTGCGAGAACAAAGTCAGCCTGTCTAAAGGGAATAGGAGAGCCCAAGGTTTCCATAAAGACTTGCCTGACAGCGTGGGTTGATCAACCAGAGGAGGCCGCTGTGCATCAGGCTCCCGTTGGACTGTCTCCCTGTGTCCTTCGACCTTGACAGCAGGTTCTGGAAGATAACCTGGCAGTCCTCACAGTCCATTAAGACAGCAGATGCAAACACACTCAGAAGCCAACTGCTGAAATCAGGTTAATTTCAGCCTCATCCTGCTACTGTCCTCTTGCAGCCAATGCCAGCTCAGCCCAGAACTTTGCAAGGTTAGATCATGGTAAAGCTCACAAATGGGCATCTCTCAGTAGGGCATGTGCTGAGTAGGTGCAAAACTGAGTGACTGGAGAGCATCTGTTTGGGGCAGAAATTGCCAGCCTATCATTGGAAGATAGAAGTAGGGTAGAGCATAGAAAATGGGAGACAAATGCACAGAGGTGGAGTCAGATGAATGGGAAAATGTCTTCAACTCGATCTGTATTCATTTCCTAGAAGATAAAATTGTTTCAGGAACCGTAGACTTAATCAGGTTATAGGGTTGAACTTTTTATGAAGCAATAGTTTTATTTGTATTGTATGTGCCCCTGTGGAAAAACAGAGTTTATTGTTTATCAAATTTGTCCTTACCATTGAGAAAATTTGCTGTTAGGCTCTTTTTTTGTGGGTTTTTTTTTTTTTTTTTTAACTCAGAGTCGAAATGATTTGCACTTAAATTTTGGAAAACTGGAAGAATTTGAAGGTTGCTATCTCTTCAGTAATGGTTACTTTGCTCTCAGGGGAAATGATTGACTATTACCGTGAAAGGGGAAATGATATTCTCTTTCACAGTGTTACAACAGGAAGGATGCTTTTCCCGCTCACCATTAACTTTCTGATGATTGTGCCCCTCTGCCCACCCACTCCTGTCTCACCTTTTTTTCCCCAGCACCCAATTCAATGTAGCTCACCAAATGGCCATGTGCCTCTGCTCTGGGCATGGGGCCAAGCATTGCCCAGAAGAGTCCATCCTCCAGGAGTGCAGGACTTGCCTGCCCACAGAGGAAAGGACACAACAGAGTGGGGCACTCCCAAGGAATTGCTCTTTGCTCTGCAGTTTTTCCTAGCACTACCTGAGACACATTTGGGGGCACAGATGGGTATAAATGTGAATGGAAGTTTGGTTAACTGTGCATTTTCAGGTTTCACTAGTGGTGCTGCCAGTGGTTAAGAGCTTAGACATTACAGTTAGACAGGACTGGCCTCGTATCCTGGGCCTGCCATTAAATACTGTGTGACCCTGAAAAATGCACTTACCCTCTCTGAGCATCAATTTCTGCTTATTCCCCAAAGGGAAATAATAACTACTTTATAGAGCTGTCAGATGGCATATTGTAGAAGTGCCTGGCAACATTGCTAGCACATAGTAGGTGCTAAATAAGTGGTCACTGATGTTGTTTTCTAGTTTGTATTTGTGAGGTTGTTAATGTCTGTGAGAAGACTAGGACTGTGGTATTGGGAGGAGAGGTTAGCTGGAGCAGGTGACACACAAACTGTGGGTAGAGTACCCAGGAGTCAAGGTGTGTGAGGAGGTTGGGGACATCATTGCTTTGGCAGCAGCTGGGTTTTTGCTTATGGAAAGGAAATGGCATGCTTAGCCAGCCAGAGAACCAAGCTGCTACTGTCAGAGAGTCTTTCAAATGGAGCTTTGCAAATGTGTGCATGCAGCCTGCAGTAATGAGATTCATGCTTCTTCAGTGGTAATCCCCCACTAGACAGCATTTTAAATCTTTTCCTATTTGGTACATAGAACTGAGGTCCAGGATATACATATTTCCAAGTGTCATTTTTAATTTAATGCATGATTGAACGTATTACCACTGGCACAGCTAAATAGTTAAACTAGAATCCATCAATTTGTCCTGAACTGTTGACATGCAGGGTAATGCTACGGTTAAATTAAATTTAAATATAAGAATGAGAGGCAGCTTGGTCTCCTGGCAGCCTTGGGGCCCGCTTTGTCAGTGAGGCCTGGCTGCAGGAGGAAAAGGACATTTTAAAATATGAGGTGCATTTCTCACCTCCCCTCCGTATGGCTTGAAGAAAGTGCTGATTCTATTGCCTTTCTGGTTATTTTCTCCAACTGAGTGGCAAAGAAGACCAGGTGTCCAGATTCTGGCAGGAAAGCATGGTGCAAATGTAAAAGCAAATCACTGTTAATAGGAAAAACCTGGTTTGCAAATCATAACATTTCAAAACTAGAACAGATTTGGGAGACCCTAGAATGGCAGTCAGGGCGACCAGCCAGAGTTTCTGTCCAGCTCAGAGAGGCTGGGAAATCTGCCCAAGGACATCTGAGAAGAGAGCTGGATCCTCTGACTGAGAGTGGATGATCTCTGCTCTCAGTTTCATTGCACTTTATGCAGAGACATGGCTGAGTGGTGAGAGACCACTCACTGCTGTGAGATCCTGAGCCCGTGAGTGAGACCCTCTGTGTGCAATTTGTCTATAAAATGGGAATAATGTCACTAGCTGTCTCATAGGATTGTCCAAAAGGTTAAATGACTTCTAGGTGTGAAATGATTAGAATAGTGACTGGAATTAGATCAGAGCATAATAAATACAAATGATTCTTATTGTACTTACAGAAATAACTCGCCTTTTTATTGGCTCATTTTTCTCTAAATCCTCTTCCTAGGAGTGGGGACTCATGCTGCAGAGTATATCCTGTAGTCTGTGGTCTAGTGTTTCCTTATGGACAATATGATGAAGATCTAGGAGGGCCAGTGCATTAGTCTCTCAGGGCAGCTGGAAGAAATCACCACAAAGTTGGTGGGTTAAACAGTAGACATTCTATCACAGTTCTGGAAGCTGGAAGTCCAAAGTCAAGGTGACAGCCAAGTGGTTCTCTCTCCTCTAGAGGAGGATTCTTTCATGCTGCTTTGAGCTTCTGGTGGTTCCTTGTTCCCACATCCTTTCAACTCTACCTCCATCTTTTCAAAGGCTTCTCCTCTTCTCCAGATGTTTGTCCACTGTGTGTCTTTTGTAAAGATACTTGTCACTGGATTTTGAATATGCCACAAGAATTCAGAATTTAATTTTCTCTCTGATCTTATTGTGAGATCCTTAATTATATCTGCAAAGATCAAGGGATTGGGGTCAAAATAAAGGGGGTGCAATTGCATGGGGAATATAAAAATAAAAAAAAATTTAAAAAAAGATCCTTTTTCCAATAAGGTCATATCATAGTTCTAGAACACAGATATACCTTTTCATGGGAGTCCACCACTCAACTCACCTCAACTGGCTATTGTTAGGGTAAGACCTGGGTATTGGAACTGAAATAAACGTAGAAAGAATTAAACCCATAAACTTGATTTTGGGTGAACTATGTGTTAACCCACCATAAAGTCTGGTATATAGGAGAGGAAATGGTAGAAAGAGAAATGTGACTAGAAAGATTTATCATTTGACTCATCGAAATGATACATGGATTGTGATTGGTAAATGCGAATGCGATCAGTCTTCATTCATTCACTGATTGACAGTCATGTTACTATACCATTATGTGCTACATAGTAGAAATAGAAAGATGAAAAAGAGACCATTTCTACCTTCATGGAGCCAATAGTGTGGGAGGAATGTGCGTGAAAATAAAAAATAAAGTATAAAATCAGTACTGTAAATTCAAAGCTTAAACTTTTCTTATTCTAAGTGCGGAGAGGGAGCATGTAACCCAGTAATGGTGGGGTGCAGGAAAGAGGGGTGAATGTTGTGTCAGGCGAAGCTTTCTAGTAGAGGTGACAGTGAATCAATCTGTGTGAAACAGTTGAGGCTGATGTTCAAAATCAAGGTATCAGTGGGGTTGGTTCATAATGGAAGCTCTAACTCATGTTCCATGTCCTTTGCTAATTTTTTCCTCAGTTTTTCAGTCTGTCGCTAGCTTTTATGTTTCTGCCTTCCCTTGGCTTTTATTAACTGCATATTTATGAAGCCTATTTCATATAATTCTTTGCATTCATTATATTTTGCATTTCTTTTTTCCCAGCTAGATTCATATATTTCCAGAGATACCAACTTAGTATGGTAGACATTCCTAAAGAGCGAGTAAAAGGTCTGGGTTATAAGCTTAGTTGTACAAGTTATTAACTATGGTTTTGAGTTAATTTTGGGCACTCATCACTCTTTTACTTTATAGACTTAGGACTTAGGCTGTGTTTTCTTGCCTTCTTCACAAGCTTGCTGAGATCAAATGAGGTAGCAGATGGAATGTACTGCTCTGCTAAAGTGCCTTCTTCATGTGCTAGGTGCTCACAAATAACTGAAGATTTATTCAGAAATTCACTTTCGATCATTGTAAAATAAGTAACATCCAGGAGGTAAGGGGAACTTCTGTTTCTGTGTGGCTCAGGAAGATGTGACAGCTCAAGTGAAGTTATACACCCACCATGATGGTCAGTTTTCAAAGTCTGAAGTGATCTCAGTTCATTTTATTACCGAGTTTCTTTCTCTTGTTTGTCTGGTGTCAGGTGCTACCAACAGGGCCCGCTTGGCTGACATGTATTACATAGAGAGAGGAAGTTTTAGTTCCATGCTTTCACAAAAATGAACCAGGTATCTATTATGGTCTCTGGAGGGATTTTCAAATTCAATTCAAAGTTCCTTTGGGACTATCCCTCGAGAAACCCTGGTGTTGGGATTAGACAGAAAACAGCTAAATTTCCTTGTGTCTGTATTGGTTGGATTTGCATCTTTCATTTCTTTTCAAGCCCAAACTCAGTGGAGGGGGCATAGGGGGGAAGAAAGTGAGGTTCATTGACAACAGTGACATCAGCCACACTGGCCACTCCCAGCCAGTCCCACACAGCCTGCTGTGCGACTGTTCAGCCCTGGTGTGACATTATCAGCTGTGCAGCTGGGGGCATGGCATGTCGCCATGCTGCAGCTTGGTGGTGGCCTTCCTGCCACGGAACAGCTTGTGATTAGGATGGGGCACTCGGCAGCTGGGTGAGATCTGAGCCATGTGGCCGGTGATCAGTAGCAGCCTCTCTACAACTGTCTCGTGGATAGAGATTGAAGCACCCAGGTGATTTCTTAATCTTTTGGGACCTTAGTCTTTAAGGTGGCAGTCACATTTTGTGAGCTCTTGACATTTCTTTCTATACTCACAATTTCCCCAGGGCTTTGCCTTCTCTTCTCTGGAGTGTGAGCTCAACGGAACTGCTTATTCCATCAGTTCTGGGAAGGGTTGTGTCATGCATGATTAGAAACTAAGAAATGTTTGAAGCTGACTTTTCCACCCTGTTCTTCTCTGATGTCAGCACTTGGAGTGTTCTGGATCTGAAGATCTTCAAAGCCGAGATAACTAATGAAACTATGATTCAGGGTGGGGATGGAGGGATGGATACTAGGCAGGTCAACAACAAGGCAGCAGAGTCTGGGGCTTCATGAAGTCTGACATCAAGGTCAATGATGTCTTCTCCTGGCCACCGGGTCAAAGGGTCCTGAAATTTGAGCAGCAGAGAATCATTCTCTGGACTTAAGCTGGTTCTGTTCCTGAAGAGCAAGCGTTCCTGGGTGGAGTTTTACTGGCCACAATAATATAAGCTAGATAAATTCTCTTGGTATCAGAAAAAACACTTCAGTATCCAGAATTTCCTCCTTGAGAGTTAGCTGGATAAGTGAAATACTATCCTCTCATGTTCACAACATAAATGTTCACTTACCTACTCCAAGATCTTTCTTGAGATGAGAAGAGAACCTCAGAGAGTTTAACAGTATAACATGATCTTACTTGTCAAGCCTTGTTCTTCAGCTGCCTGGAGAGTACTGGACTTTCAGGATATGTTCAGGCACCAGAACCCAAGATCTTACAGCTGGTCTCATGGCTGCCATTGAGCAGATGTGGAAGTACAGGAAATGTACATACTCCCTCGTGACTTGCATGCTGAACTCAGTGAGATCAACATGTATGGATTGGGCATGTGTCCATCTGCATTCAGGTGGGGCGCTGATTGATTTTACCTAAATTGAAGTAGAAGGCAAGGCTATGCAACAGCTATAGGGTACTCTATATATAATTACCTACCATACTTAGAGCTACAATGTTCTAGATCTTTAACATAAATATAACCTAGAAAACTCTGTGTGTGTGTGATGTGTAAATGTGTATATGGGTTGGTGTGTATTGAGCAAAGATTTCCCCAGGATTTTTGGGGTCCATAGGTCTCAGTGTCCTTTACTCAGTGTAGTGCACTTGCTGAATTCTTAAATAATAGCCATCAAGCTTACTAAACACACAAGTGATCATTGCTAGAAGCAAGTTTAATTCCTCCAAGGGATCCAGTTCAGCAAACCAGACATATCATGACACTCTTTGCTTACTTTGAGCAGCTACAGATATACTAAATTGGAGAAATATGATTTGGCAAACACTGAAGTTGTTTTTGGCTTGTCACCTCCAACTGAGTCTTCTCATTAAAATCTTTCAAGGTCAGTGTCCCCATCAAGTTCACTATGTTCTGTTAACAATTCTTGGATCTCATAGAGTGTAACCAGGGCTTGGTGCCATAGATCTCCACACCAATGGCTTCCCCATTTGCAGGAGTCTTGTAAACTACTGCTCTTACCAAATATAGTTGATTAACTGATTCATTCACTTCCTCATTTAATAAATAAAGCCACTACTATTCTTGGCCATTAGTCCAAAGTTATTCAACAAATGCTTTGTAAACTCTTGGGATAAAATGATCAGAAAAAGAGATAAGGTTTCCATTTTCACAGAGCTCAGAGCTTAGCAAGAAAGACAGACATTAAGCATACAATGGGAAATAAATGCCTGCTTACAGGTAGTGAAATGCTCTAAAGAACTGGATACCATGGAAATATTTCACAGGGAGACCTGAGTCAGGGAGGTCAGGGAAGTTATCTTTGAAGAAGTTTAAGCTGAAATAAGATGAAAGCAATTGTGTACTGGTACATGGCATGGACACTATTTTTATCAAGTTTGAAAATGTGCCTGCTCTCCCAATTCCCTGTTACTACATTCTAGAGACCACTTGAGTTGGTCATAAATTCTTTTATTTGCTATGCATTTCTTGATGTCAGTGATTCATGGGGACATGCATGAACAATGAGGCCTATCCCTAAATCAGGGGCCGGAGGGAACCCTGCAAACCTTCTTCAACTTTGAGTCTTGGCCATTATGGATTTTTATCCTTGAATGTCCTGAGTTTCAGGGTGATCAATAAACTAATTAAAAGCTTTCCTTTCTACTTCAGTCCTGACAATTAGGGTAATTCAGATTTCCACTCCTCTATCAGACTGAGAGTAAAATAAAATAAATATGGTCTCTCTGACAATGTTTTTTAGTCAGTAGCTCCCCAACTCCACCCACCCCTACCCCCAGTCCATGAACCCAGCTCACACATCCTTCCCGATCTAATCAGGGATTCCTAGGGTCTCTTCATCTGCTTCTGAGTGCTGTGAGAGTCCCAAGTGATTGTCCCATTTCACTCTCTATGTGGTTTCTTAATGACATCAATACCTTTGCTAGAATGTTAAATGGTGCCTCTTAATATTTGGATATTATTATTTTGATGTTGATTTAGGTTTTCTTGGCTGAAATAAGGTACCGGTGTGCTCTGGCTTAGTTAGAACATCCACCCTTTTAGTTTTCTTTCCTATGAGTCAAGGCTGTAGTTCACCACAACCAACCCCTCACCCCTACAGAACTGAACAACTCTTCTGGGGAAGAAGAGTTAGAGAACAAAGAAGTAATATAAACAGTCACACCTGGCGCTGCCCTTTCCTACCCCTGGTGTCCCTCACACACACTTTTTAGGTGACAATGTGGACATTTTAGTTTAGAGAAAGAAATTCAACCCAAGTGATGGAACACTATGTCTCTGCACTTGATATAGATAATTTAAGGGAGAGGGAGCCCAATCTATTACACACAAGTTTAAAATTTCCAAAGCTCTATGTGGGAGCTGCTGTTATAAATCCTGTTATCTGTTAATGGGATTTCAGCCTGAAACGCCCACATGCTGCTTTGAAATTTTCCTCCATCTGTTCATTTCTGCAAAGCTTATTTATTTATTTAGGACGAGAGGAATGGCCTACTAACGCCGCCAG